CGCCTATACAAAAGCACACGCACACGCAAGCACACATTCACACACACACATAAATGCTAATATCCCATTGTTTCCCTTAATTTACTAACGCATACCATCGACTATTAAGCCTGTTACCAGAGCTTTGTATTCCAGCTTTGTGATAGGTCCACTCTTTTTCGATGTAGTAATGTATCAAACTCCCACACTCCACTCCTTGACCCCTGTTTGTTATGAATATTCATCTGCGTGTAAATCTTGCTATCTTCACGGTGACCTTCCTCATATTACCGACGTCCGAGTCCGTTCGTTCTCCCCCTCAGGCAGTTTCCTGTTACCTCGTTGCTCTCGAGAGGAAGGTATAGAACACCGCCCTACTTTTATGAAATCATCTTCTTTCGGTTAAGTTTCTTAATCCCTCTCCCATTGTTTACTCTGAGTTAGAGCGAGAAGGGAGGGAGGAGGAAGGAGCGAGGGTGTGAGGCCGGAAGGAGGGAGGCAGGGGGCAAGGAGTCAACGAGAAGAAGGGAGGGCAAGGTATAGGGACTGACGTGGACAGAAGAGGGTGAGAGGTGGAGGCGTAGGAAAGGGAGGGGAGGGAGAGGGCAGGGATGGGAGGGAGGGAGAGGACGGTGACGCACGTCGGGCAGGGAGAGGGAGGGAAGTGAGGGACCAAGGGAGGGAGGGAGGAGGAAAGGGAGAATGCGGGAGGCGAGGGAGAAGATCGGAGAGACGAAAAGAGATAGAGAGATAAGATGATAGTAGGATGATATGATATAAAGAGTAGAGAAATTGAGAGTAGATAGTAGAGTAGTAGAGAGAGTGAAGAGGATAACTCGATTCAGGAATAGACAACGACAGAATAAGAGAGAAGTGAGAAAGAAAAAAGGTGGGGAAAAAAGACACAAAAGAGATAGAGAGAGAGAGAGAAAGAAACAACCACCTCCACCTTTTGCTTTCCTTCCTCGCCCGCCCTTGCCACGCCTCCTTGCGCCGCTCCACTCTACCGTTCTCGCGCCCCCTACATTCTTGGCGCGCTGGGCGGTTCCGATATTACATCGTCCCAGTCTCGAGCTTGCAAGGTTAGGGGCGTTAATTGAAATTTAACAACCATAAGATTGGCAACGTCTTCCTTGCAAAAGCGCGGCTACGTGGATCTTCTGGGCTCTATCAGAGGAATTGTGAACATCTCATCAGATGATTCGACTTCGCCTACGTCAACGGTGGTGAATAGGGTCCTTGAAATTGACGAGCCTGTAAGCACTTCATCTTTACCAATTCTCGGCTTATGTCCGTGCGCGTAGGTTGGGGCGTGGATATATCGGGCGCTTAAGTCCCGGGTTCCACGATCGGCACAACACGACATGGGGCCGCCAAGTCGCAACACCATTTCCCCGACCCATACACCGATAAAAAGATTACTTTCCATGTGAATCGGCGTGACCTGGTCAATATCAGTACGCGGTGCGGCATGCACGAAAGGGGGTGGAGGGAAAGGGGCAGGGGTGGAGGGTAAAGGGAGGGAGGAATGGGGGAGAGAAAGGAGGAGTGGGGGAGAAATAGGAGGGTAGAGGGTGAACGTGCCTAGGGGAGTGGGGAGAAAGGAGTTGGGTGGGAAGGGAGGGGTAGGGGATGGAGGGAGGGAAGGGTAGGGAGGAAAGGTAGGGGTAGGGGAAAGAAGTAGGGAGGAAGGGTAGGGGTAGGGGAAGGGGGAAGGAGTAGGGACGAAAGGTAGGGGTACGGAAAGGAGTAGGGAGGAAGGGTAGGGGTAGGGGAGTGGGGAGGAAGGAGAGGGAGTGAGGAGTAAGGAGGGTAGTGGGAAGGTAAGGGGAGAATAATTTCGGGAATGGCGCTGCCCGAATAAACAAGCTACTCCATGCACTGTTATCTAATGCACTCCTTTTTTCGGCGTCATAATTACACGGTTTGGGAGAGCGATGCGCCATCTATTGTTTACTTGCGCTATATCAAAGCTTAACGTCATAAACTGGCTTTCCTTTGACAACCATACAGAGGAGAATTTCCTTCTTTAATAAAATAACAATTTTGTCCGCATAAACCAAATATTGTCCAATACAAGCCAAGGCGTCTGGGATATTTAAGAGCGATCGTTTTTCACTTGTTTTCAATAGATACAAAAATAATGTTGGCGCTCAGATTTTCCGCTGTGTGCTTTTCCTTCCCCGTCCTTAAAGCATTTCAAAATATATACTTTCACTCGCTGATAAAACTCTTTGCCAGAAGATTATTTTAGAGATAACAAAAATGTATTGAGGAAACTAATAATCAGGTCCAAAGAGAAAAAAAAAAAAACGCACAGGAAAAAATATTATTTCAAATAAATAAAGACATTCGATGAATCTGACCGAAAAATAAAATAAAATGAATGTCGGGGTCTCAGGAACAATATAGGAGCATTAACAAAGATTACTCCATGCTATTTTAATTATAAACATTGGGTCCGTGAATGGCGAGGCCAACAAGAAATTTAAATGAACTATATAATCTAGACTGTAATAAA